ATGCACGAGCTAGTCTTATTAAGGTAATCATTTAGATTTTGATGATTTGAAGAACATAAAGCACATGTAGTGGAATAAGCAAAATGTAACTTTTTAATTATTAAACACAACCTTGTACGCAACATTATTTGTTTGGTCTGTTGGTAAATTGTTTATCACCACAAATTATATTAGGATTCAAGGTAGACTTAAATGAATCAATTAATTATTTTAGCAGTATATATATGATATTTTGTAAGTGCATGCAATTTTAATTTTTAAATTTTAATTTTCAATTTGAAATTGGAACCAATTTCTATGCAATTCGATTTTTTTTTTTTGTTTTTAATATGCATGATCTGTTGCAATTAGGTAAACATACATGTTATAGTATTTTGCCTAATTCAAAATTCGTAATTTTTATGGCAACAAATTTTTTTTATTAAAAAATGAGAAAATTTTCACCTTTACAAAATTGTCATGAATTTTACATAATTTAGCCCGATTTCTATGCGCTCCAATTTTTATTAATAAGCAATTAATATGTTGCAATTAGCAAAAGATATATGTTATATTATTTTCCCTATTTTGAAATTCTCGATTTTGTGGTAATCAATTTTTTTTAATAGAAATGAGAAAGAATTTTGACTTTTGCAAAATTGCAAGCATCAATCGAAATTTACCTAAATTAAATCCACAAAATTCATGAATTTATGGTGCATATAAAGCTGATTGATTTTTATGAATAATTTAAAAAGAAAATAAAAACTGCCAAAAATAGAATGCAATTATGCTGGTTGACTTTTCTTGTCATGATTTTTTGTAAATAAGTTCTCTCTTTTTATATATACTCAAAACTAAACTACAACATAAATGACTTTAGGTAGCACCATCAAATGTAACATATTACAAATAGGTATCATATAAGTGTTACCAAAAACTACCAAAAGTATTACCTATTTGTAAAGTGTTACATTTGATGGTGCTACCTAAAGCCATTTATGTTGTAGTATAAGTTGGATTGAAGGATTTATTGAGTGATCATAGATTTCAAATTTACAAGTGCAAATCCTCATGAATGTTGGATGAGAATTGAATGGAAGATCTTAAATTCATGCTAGATAGATTTTAGTCATTATTTTAAAGGATCTTAAATGACACTCAAATAGTCATTTGAACATGGATTTATCCTATGTGTTAAGTCTGTTGTTCTGTTTTCTTTGAATATCCCTCATAGTTCCAAAATGAGAATTTGCAATGTGTTGAATGGTATCCTATGTGTTAGATCTACTAAATATCTAGGGCTTCCCCTAGGTATTGGTAGGTCTAATAGGGATATTTTCAAATATGTGCTTGAGTGTGTGAACAAAAAACTGACTTGCTGGAAAAATAATTTGTTAAGCAATGCAGGCAGGGAGGTTTTAGTTAAATTTGTTCTTGAAGTTATGCCTACCTATGTTATGTCATGTTTTCAACTGCCTGCGAGTATATCTCATGATATTAGTAGGGCTATTGCTAGGTTTTGATGGGGTTCTAAAGAACAGAGGGCAACGAAACTCATTGGGCTAGCTGGGATGTTTTATCTAAGCCTAAGGTCTGGGGTGGGTTGGGTTTTAGGAACTTGAGATTGTTCAATGTTGCTCTACTAGCCAAACAATTATGGAGAGTCCTGACTCACCCTAATTTGTTGATCAGTAGAGTTCTCAGAGGGAAATATTACTATAGAGTTAGCCTTTTTTATGTCAAACCCAAAAATAGGGATTCATGTCTTTGGAAGAGTTGGGTGAGTGTCCTGGGTTATTTGAAGATGGGGGCTAGATTTCAGGTGGGTACTGGGTTAAACATTTCTGTGTGGCACCATCCCTGGCTTCCCAGAGAACTTAATCCCATCCAACCTGTACTTTTCAAGCAGACAGGAATAACCATGCCAGGGTGAGTGATTTTTTGATTGCTGAGAGGGGGATTTGGGACAGAGACTTAGTTAGACAAACCTTCATGCCTGAGGATGCTGAACTTGTGCTTAAAATTCCCATTTCTGTGATAGGTACACCTGATAAGATTTTCTGGTGGTTTGGAAAATATGGGAAGTTCATTGTGAAGTCAGCCTATGAAGCTTTTGTGACCAAATTGTGGCAGGAAAAAGGGATAGCTAGTTCCAGTAAGGGGTCTAACATTGGGAGTAGGGTCTGGATAGTTACTTGGAAACTCTCCATTAAAAACAAAATCAAACATTTTCTTTGGAAATGCTGGCACAGGTTCATCCATTCTAAAGATTAACTTTTGATGAGGAGGTTGACTGATGATGCCACTTTCTCCCTATATGGTATGGCTGCTGAAGATATAGATCACATCTTGTTTCACTGTGACAGAGCTAAACTTGTGTGGAAACTGAGTGGAGTGACTTGGGAATCCTTTAGTGTGCAAAATTTATCCTTCAGACTGGTGGGGCAGCATTTGCAGTGCCAAGCAAGAAGAGAGCATCATAGCCACAACCAGCCTTTCATCATACATTCTATGGTGGCTTTGGAAGACAAGAAATGTTTAGATTTTTCAAAAAAAAAAAAAGGACATGTGAGAGACACTTTGCAGAGGGTGCTAGAGAGGAATGGTTGGAATTTGTAGGTATTCAGTCTAAGGCCAAGGGCTCCAACATTATTCTGCTAGGCCCCCAAACTTCATCTGACCAGGAAGAGAAGTTTTCCCAGGTGGTAGAACACTGGTCTCTCAGTGTTAGTGCCACAATCTCTTCTGAGGATCAAGTGAAGATGGTGTGTTTGGCAAAACAGGAGGGAGAGGACTCCAAACAATGGACTGATTTTATCCGGTACAATGGCTGCAAATAGGGTATGGAACTCACAGTTGTGAGATGAGCTTTGCTGAAGGCCATTCACTGTGGATGGCAGGTTAGCAGATGTAAAATCAATAGCAAAGGCCAAGTCGCAAAGCTTAACAAGTCTTCACTTCAGTTTGCAGCTTGTTGTAATACCATTGCAGCAGACATTTTGGAGTTGGCTCATTCCTTTTTCTCCTGTATTTTTATAGCCTAAATCTGATTTAGAGTTTCTTTTGGTGGTTGTGTTGTTGGTTTATAGGTGATGTTTAGTTGTTAAGTCTTTCATGTGGCTGTCTTGTAGGTTGTCTTTTAGCAGTGAATTTTCTTTGTTAGTAGCTGTGTAGTTAGGTTGTTTGTTCTGAAGGGGTGCAGTTGGATGCCCCTTTGATTTTTTATGTTACTAGTTGGTAATTCGGGTGTAAGACTATTTTGAGTTTTTATGAATGTTGTTGTCGTTGGAAAAAAAACATGGATTTATAATTCTTTCACAAATCGATTCAAAAAGTTTGAAAGTAGAAAACTTAAATTTCAAAAATTCATAATTAAGAGATTTCAAATATCTCAATCAAACAAAATGTATCCTATGCCTATATACTTTATTGCCGAACAAATTGAATCATATACTAGTAATTAACCTGTGCATTTGCACGAAGGAGAATATTTAGAAAATATAACAATATAAAAAGAAAAACCAAAAATAGATAATCATAATTTAATTCATGAAAAAATATATAAACTTAGAAAATGATTCTAAATATTATTAAACACTTTTTTTGTATACAATATTCATAGTTTTTCTATCGTCAGAATCCATCACCATATATCATTATTTTCAAACTCTCCCGATTCGTGACTCTAAAAAAAGTAACGTACAACTATCCATGACTGAAAACAGAATTCAAGACAAAGCCAACGTGTGAGAGATACTGACATTTACTATTGTTGATCGTTATAGCAATACTAAGCACTGGCTTGTTATAAGTTTTATTTTATTTTTTATAATTATTGTTTTTTTTTTGTTTTTTTTTTAAGGAGAATCATTAGTATTCTCAGTGTTTTAAATACCGTCCCGGTGGCCATACCGGTCTAACCACCGATACGCTGTATTATCGATCGGACCTGTAATATCGATTATTACCGGGCTAGCAAATATAATATATATATATATATATAAATATAAATGCAAAATACCAAATGCAAAAAAAGTAAAAAAAAATAAATGACAATAATCATTAGTTTTAACTTACTAATGAGATAAAAATAAAACATTCTAACTAACAATTTACATTTGATGTTTTTAAATTAATAAATTTTATTTTTTTTATGACCGGTATTTTTCGGTATGTACGGTCTGACCCCGATACAAATCGATATAATCGTAAATTCGGTATTCTGTGTGTAACTGTACCGTACCAATGGCCGGTATCTAGTATTACCAACCGGTACGGTACGGTATTAAAAACACTGAGTATTCTCACCTCCCGTCGGTGACTCTGAACCCATGATCTATTCGTTTTTTGGTTACCCAGAGTTAATTTTGAGAAATAGGTTGAGTTAAGTTTGAGTGAAATTTAAGTATATTAAAATAAAATTTAAAATAAAATAATGAAGATTAATTTGATGTAAAAGCTAAAGAAATGTGATTGTAAGTGATGGATAGTTGAAATTATGTGATTAGATTAATATTGAATTAAAGTTAATGTGTGGTTGAATTAAATTTGAGTTCAAATTGAATTTTTTTTTTTTTTTT